CCGTGGTCCTGCAACCATACAGTAAATTGATTTGTGTCTGCCTCTGTCCGTGGGCCTGAAACAACTTGAGCTCATGGTGAGACCCCTTTGGTGTCTATCATAGTCTGTAGTTTTGACACACTATGGTCAGCTCATCTCATTTGTGTCATTGTCAGTGGTGCTGAACCTGTCCTTTTGTATCTGATGTGGTCAGATTCCTCATGTCTGTCCCTGCCTGTGGTGCTGGTGTTGAAACCTTGACTTCTGAGAGCACTCAACTCTTTTTTCTACACTTAAAAATAACACTGCATAACCAGAGATTGCGAAGGTTTTAGGTACTTCACCCTCCACACTGCATTACATCATCAAAAGATTCAGGGAATCAGAGAAATCTCTGCGTAAAGGGCAAGGCTAAACACCACAAATGAATGTTAGTGACCTTTGACCCCTCAGAGGGCATTGTGGCATGCTAACCAGCATGCCATGTGAAGGATATCACCACATCGGTGTGGGAACACTCTTTGACAACCATGGTCAATAAACACTGGGCGTTGCAGTATCCACAAATGCAAGTTAGGACTGTAGTATGCACAGTGGAAATGATATGTGAACAAACTCCAGAAACACTGATTTCTCTGGGTGTGATTTTATCTGAAATGTACAGTGGAAACAGTATTGATTGGTCTGATAAGTCCATCTTCTCCAATTTTTTATGTAAATAATTGACACTGTGTTCTCTGGGCCAAAGAAGAAAAAGACCATCCAGATTGTTACCCGTGTAAAGCTCAAAAGTGAGGGTATCATGGTGGGACTCGAACATCTGTGAAGGCCCATTACTGCTGAACTCATTCTGAAGCGACACATGCTGCCCTCTAGACGTCTTCTTTTTCAGGGATGTCCATGCTTCTTTCAACATGACAGTGGCAACCCACATTCTGTTGTGTTACAACAGCATGGCTGCATAATCAGAGTGTGTGGGTGCTAGACGGGCCTGTCTTGAGTCCAGACCTGTCTTCTATTGAAAATGTGTGTCTTATTAAGCTCAAAATATGACAACAAAGGCCCCATACGGTCGCACAGCTGAAAACTTCTATAACAGAAGAGTCTGCTTTTAGAACAATTAAGTGCCACTAAAAGGAGAGGCGATGTATCACAGTGGCAAACATGCTCTCTCAACTTTTTTGGAAGGTGTTGCAGACATCCAATTTGAAATAGATAGATAGATAGATAGATAGATAGATAGATAGATAGATAGATAGATAGATAGGTAGATAAAAAATAGTACAAAGACAACATATCAAATGTGAAAAAGAAATTTGATTGTTTTTTGAAAAATATTTGCCCAGTTTGAATTTGATGCCAACAACACATTCCAAAAAAGTTGGGATGGGAGCAACAAAAGGCTGGTAAACTTGTGTAATGCTAAAAAAACACCTGGTGGTTGACTGGCAACAAGTTAGTAACATGATTGGGTATAAAAAACATCCCAGAGAGGCTGAGTCCTTCAGAAGTAAAGATGAGGAGGGGTTCACTACTCTGTGAAAGACTGCACGATCAAATAGTGCAACAATTCAAGAATAATGTTTCTCAACATTAAATAGCAAAGAACTTTTGCTTTTCATCATCTACGGTTCATAATATCATTAAAAGAATCTGGAAAAATCTCTGTATGCAATAAAACCAGTATTGGCTGGCCGTGATCTTTGGCCCTTCAGATGGCACTGCATTTAAAAACAGACATGATTCTGTAGAGGAAATCACTGCATGGACTCAGAAACACTTCTGACAAACACTGTCTGTGAAAACAGCTAATCACTGCATCCACAAATGCAAGTTAAAACTCTAAAACACAAAGTAGAAACCATATATAAACAGGATCCAGAAATGCTGCCACCTTCTCTGGACCCGAGCTCATTTAAAATGGACTAAGGCAAACTGGAAAAGTGTCCTGTGGTCTGACAAATCAACATTTGAAATTCTTTTTGGAAATTATGGACGCTGTGTATTCCGGTCTAAAGACCACTCAGCTTGTTATCAGTGCAAAGTTCAAAAGCCAGCATGCATGATGGTATATGGGTGCATTAGTTGCATGGATGTCATGGCATGGATGATGTGCACATCTATGAAGGCACCATTAATGCTAAATGATATATACATGCTTTGGCTGCCATTCAGACAACGTCTTTTTCAGGGAAGGGCTTGCTTATTTCAGCAAGACAAAATCAAACCAAATTCTGCATGTATTACAACAGCATTGCTCCATATTAAAAGAGTCCAGGTGCTAAACTGACCTGCCTGCAGTCCAGACCTGCCACCCATTTGGCACATTATGAAATGAAAAATATGATAAATGAGCCCCAGAACTGATTAGCAGCTGAAATCCTATGCTAAGCAGGAATGGTTAAACATTTCACTTTCAAAACTACAGCAGTGTCTCCTCAGTTCCCAAACATTTACAGTGTTGTTAAAAGAAGAGGTGATGAAACACAGTGGTAAAGATGCCCCCGTCCCAACTTTTTTGGAACATGTTGTTGGCATCAAAGTCAAAATGGGCATATATTTTTCAAAAAACAATAAAATTTCTCAGTTTCAACATTTGATATGTTGTCTTTGTACTGTTTTCATTTAAATATATGGTTTACATGATTTGCATATCATTGCATTCTATTCTTATTTACATTCTGCACAGCATCCCAACTTTTGGGGTTGTAGATAGATAGACAGACAGACAGACAGACAGATAGATAGATAGATAGATAGATACATAGATAGATAGATAGGTAGATAGATAGATCCCTATAGTACTATATATCATGTGGTTATACTGTATAATCTACTGTAATTATGTCTGTTCAGTGTGTAGTGTAGCCTATTCAGCTCATAATCAAGTCTTATTGCTTTATAACGCGTGTAAGTCAGTCATACAGCCTTGCGTGGGTTTGATACTGTGACCACAGACTGCTTCTCTCATTCTCCCGGTGTCTGTTCCTGTCCGTGGTGCTGAAACGAGCACAGTGGAGCATGAAGTGGTAAATGGGAAACATACTTTATTATTTCTTTGCAGTTTGGACCAAAGCACGTGAAAAAACCTCCAGAAGCTCCACATAAAGGCAACATGGCTACACTGCAGCACGCGGGCTGCGTTCACACCGCAAATAAACTCGTGACAACGCGGTGATCGCTCGTTCACCGGAGAGCCGCCTCCAACCTGGATTAGAGCACGAGATCACAGCATCATCGCGATGCATTCGATCTGCTACCATTCACCCGTTCAGTATAGCAGGCACTGCGACTGAGCGGCTCTTTATACGAGGGTTTGTCTTTCCTTTCTTTCGTCCAGACCCGCGTCTTTCTCCTGCAGCTCTAGTGATGTCTGTGAGAAATCCACATTTAGGTTTCTACAGCTTTACACTTCCTTCTTCTGACCACCTGAAAACATGGGACACAACAGCTGCTCAGTGAACCATCCAGGATCCAACTGAAACCTGTTTTCACTACGTCTGGACCAGAACCCATTCAATATCACCACCGGATATCGCATATATGAGGGTTAGGTCAACACCGGCCATTCAAACTGAGAAATGAAACACGGTTTTACTACGAGGACAGGAATCCATTCAGACATCAGTGGCTGCGGCGCATGTAGACCAAAATATTCACGCACATGCAGGCTGAGCCATAAACGTGTCATCCTGGTCTTTAAGCGAAAAGGGGAGAGGGGGAGAAAGAAAGAAAGAAAGAAAGAAAGAAGAAAGGGGAAAAAGAGAAAGAGAAAAAGAGGAAGGAAGTGAAAGGAAGAACATGCGCCCCAGTGCCACGTGGCTCAGCCTTTTATACGTTGCAGCAGAAGGAAGGAAGGAAAGAAGGAAAGAAAGAATGAATGAATGAAAGAAAGAAAGAAAGAAAGAAAGAAAGAATCCTTATGGTACGAGGCTTTGCCTTTTAGACATTGCAGCCCAATTCTTAAACAAAGGAAGTCCAATGAGAGAGAGAGAGAGAGAGAGAAAGAGAGAGAGAGAGAGAGAGAGAGAGAGAGAGAGAAAGAGAGAGAGAGAGAGAGAGAGAGAGAGAGAGAGAGAATGAGAGAGAGAGGGAAAGAGACAAAAAAGAGAGGGAAAGGGAAAGAGAGAGAGAGAAGGAAGAGCGAGATAGAGAGAACGAGAGAGAGAGAGAAAAAGAGAGTAAGGGAAAGAGAAAGAAGGGAGACAGAGAGAATGAGAGAGAGGGAGAGAATGATAGAGTTATAAGGAAAGAGAGAGACAGAGAGAGAAAAAAGAGAGAATTTGAAATGGGAGAAAGAAGAGAGAGATAGAGAGAACGAGAGAGAGGGGGAGAAAAAAGAGAGAAAGGAGAGAGAGAGAGAGAGAGGGAGAGAATGAGAGAGGGAAAGAGACAAAAAAGAGGGAAAGGAAAGAGAGAGAGAAGGAAGAGCGAGATAGAGAGAACGAGAGAGAGATTGAGAGAGAGATAGAGAGAGAAAAAGAGAGAAAGGGAAAGAGAGAAAGAAGGGAGATAGAGAGAATGAGAGAGAAAGAGAGAGAGAGACTTATAAGGAAAGAGAGAGATAGAGAGAGAAAAAAGAGAGAAATTGAAAAAGGGAGAAAGAAAAGAGAGAGAGAGAGAGAGAGAGAAAGAGAGGCACGTGGCTTTGCCTTTTACACGTTCAGTCCAATTCTCAGCATCATCCTCGGAGAAGCAGCCAAAGAAAAAAAGGGGGGAAAAGAAAGAAAGAAAGAAAGAAAAGAAAGAAAAAGCATCTGAGAGAGGCTCTTACACCTCATTTCGATTCCTTGACCGTCCTTGCCAGCGTTTCACATTTAACCATTTCATCACTACAGGCGCGATGGGCGGAGCCTTCCTCTGACCGGCAGTTTAAAGGAGCCAATAGGATGCGGAGGTGGCTCTGCTGGTGGGATGGAAGGATGTAGGGGCGAGAGAGGAGAACCAATAGAGGAGAGGAGCCTCACAGTGGAGGAGTATGCTTCCGCCCAGAGCGTGTGCGCACTGAATGGATGAAACGCGGAGCGTTACAGTGCGCGTGATTCGGTCGCCTATAAATGCAGAAGCCTGCACTATTTGCCTCCCTTTAAAAACCTTCATCTCCACCTTCATCTTCATCCTCCACATGTTCGAGTCTCTCTCTCTGCCTCTCTCTCTCTCTCTCTCTCTCTCTCTCTCTCTCTCTCTCTCACACACACACACATATATACAGTGATGTCGCGGTTTTAGCGCGAGGATCCTGCCAATAGCCAGACAGGCACGAGTCTGATTATTTTTTTTTAATTATTGTTCATTGTTTTATTATCACTTATTTTATGTCCTTCTGTTCTTTTCCCTGATTTGTTCTTTTTTATTTCGTTTCTCTAACTCTCTTTCTTCTCCTGTGTCTTTCGTTTCTCAATAAACGTTTCGTTTTGCGTTTGTGAATTGTTTGGTTATTTTTCCAAGCAGAATAAGCGTAACTGGTTTTATTTCGAGTGTTTTATTTTTTTTTTTTTATTTTTCATTATTTTGTATGAACCCTGTCTCGGTGTGTTGGTTGTAAGGCATATTTCGCTTGTGGGACAACCTTAACTTTGCCTGTAGAGAGACGGTAAGACATTTTATTTTTCACGTTTTTTTGAAATTCACTGCTGTTAAACGTTCAGCTTGGCTGCGTTTCATCGTTTACGCTTTTTGCATGGTGTGCCTATTGCAGTCTATACTGAATCAGTGTTAAAGCTGTTTTCCTTGATTCCCGTCCTCTGAAGGGATGTAATCCCATTTAAAACGTGGCTGTGTATGTATTTGCCATGCTAGCTCAGGACACCGCAGCTCTGCAGCTGTTTATTATCCCTTATTAGCCTCCTAATTTCATTTATCGGCAATTAAACCAGCCTAGACAAACACTGTCTGGTTTCAGTGTTCATTTCTCCTTCATATGGCAAAGCCAGCTTAAGACTGGACTACTACTACCACTATCACACACTTTTAGACATGAGACATATGCATTGTGAGCATAAGCTTGTTTCGCTGGTTAGTGCTTTGTCTTGTTGGATAATTTTGAGGTTTTAAAGGTCATTTAAACTGAAAGGTCACCTTTTTTATGGATATTAATGTCCATATCTGAGTCTGTCGGTAAAGGTTTGAGTCCACAACCTGCCAAGGACTTTATATATAGCTTATTCCTCTATAACTGGCATATGTGTTAATAAATAAAGCTTCTAAAATAGTACTTGGCTTGGATGTAGGTTCTAGGAAAAACATTTAATAAGTTATGGAACCTTCACGTTGCGTGGAGGATGTTCTTTACACTCGCACATGCCGCTTACAAAAAAGGTTCTTCAATAAGCCATCTACTGAAAGGCTCTTTGGGGGAACAAAAGTGGTTCTTCTGTGGCATTGCTCAAAAGAACCTTTTTTTGGAACCATTTTAAAGTGTATGGTGGATAATAGAATTACTTTTGAAACCTTTTCAAGAGTGCATGGTAGACTGTAGAGTGTACAATGGACAATTCCTTTTTTGGAACCTTTTAAGAATGTATATTAGAACGTTTGGAACCATATAAGAGTGTATGTTGAATAACGATTCTTTTTGCAACCTTTTAAGAATGTGTATTAGATCACAAGACTACTACTGGAACCTTTTAAGTGTGTACGTTGGATAATAGAACCTTTCTAGGAACCTTGCAGGAGTGTATGTTGGATAAAGGAACCTTTTTAGGAACCTTACAAGCATTAACATTGTATAAACAAACTTCTTTTTGGTAGCTTACACGAGTGAACACTGGATACAGAACAGCTTTTGGAACCTGCTAAGAGTGAACATTGGATAATAGAACCTTTCTAAAACCATACAAGAGTGTATGTTAGATAATGGAACATTTTAGGAACTATTTAAGGGTGTACATTAGATAAAAGAACTTCTTTTGGAACCTTATGAAGGTGTATGTTGAATAATAGAACCTTGGAACCCTTTAAGAGCATACGCTGTATAATAGAACCTTATTTGGAACCCTTGAATACCATATATTGGATAATAGAACCCCTTTTGGAACATTTTAATAGTATTTATTGGACAATTTATCTTGCATAATACTATTTTTCACTTCTATGGGTGCTGAAATGTTTGTCTTGTTGGTGTAAAGCTTGTTTCCTATGAGACGTCAATGAAGTCTGAATGAAGAACTCGAGTGACTGTCAATTTATTAAAACAGAAATGTCTTTCATTTGGCTTTTCTAAATCATTCTTTTGATTTTAACCTTCTTCAAACCCCTTATAGTCCACAATCTGATGGTTATTGTAGTCTAGCGGCTTTAAAATAACCTAAGGCGAATGCAGATTGTACTCAGGTGATGTGAATGATGTGAATAGGCTACAGTTAGAATATCGCTGTATTGTTTTTAGGCCGACAATGTAGGAAATGTAGATCAGCCCATTATTTTCCTGAAATAATTGGATATACGTGTATATTATGTCTGCAAGACACCTGTATCGAGTAGATAGATTCCACTAATTTTTCAACATTCGCAGTGGTAGTGATAGGAACCAGGAGTACAAACCAAACACAGAACCTACACGTGTCTTCTGAGATTTTATAAGTAACGTTGATAATAGTAAAACAGTGGAAAATCTGAAATGGGGCTATTATGGCCTGTTTTGCCTCACAACACCCTCCATGTATCTCCTCCATCCCCCAAAACATGAATGGATTTTATAAAAAATCTGTTTTAGGCCAAAATCTTTATCTCAAAGTTAATGTAAAACAATGTTATGTCACAATTTCACGTAATAACTTTCTGTGAGGGAGCTTTTAGAGGCGGACATCCGGTTCCTATCACCACCACTGTGAACAATTCTGACTCTGTACGTTTCTCTAGAACAGAGCGTTTCAAATCAAACCACTCTGAACGACTCTGTTTACAACTTAATCACTTATGCAGAAATTTTTAAAAATTGTTGGAACTCCCCTTCAATGCCCTTTTAGTTATCAAAGACCTCCCAGTGGAAGTGGACAGAAAAAGGCATTAATATGGTTGAGAAATGATCATTTTAAAAGCGTGTTCAAAAACTGTGACATGAATAAACATAGAATATACAGGAAAATAATTCGTGATACTGTCTTTGAAACTGTGAGCTCGATTAAGAATAAGTTTATGATTATAAAATGTGTTTAAACTCTCTACTCCGTGCTTAGGAGCCACTATTTCGTTTCAAATTGACCGTTCAAACCAACTACCTTCCTCCTTCTCAGCAAAGGTGCTTAAATTAACTTAATTCATAACAGCTGAGGTAAACTAGCTTCTCCACAAACTCCCGCCCACGTCATTTCGCCTGTCAAACCAATTGTCCAATCATCAAGAGCGGAACTGGATTGGGCTCCTCTGATTGGCTCGTCGGCCTGCCAGTTTATTTTAGGGCCCCTTGGTTTTCCCGCCGCTGCCGTTAGCATTAGCTCCGACTAAACGACGCGGCTCGGAGTTTACGGACCTACATTTATAAAAAGATCATTTGAGCTGTGTTTATTGACTAAGGTAAGGACGGCAACGGCCTAAATCTGTTGACGGATATGTTATGTGCACGAACTGAGTGCTGCTTTGTTTAAATGTTCGCCCGTTTTGATGTTTTGAGTCGGTTTGGCGTGTCAGCTTAGTTGAGGTCGTTCAGCTTTGCTAACTTAACGGTTCCGTCGATTCGTGAAAATTAGCGGTTATTTAAGACGCTCGAAGCTGTTTTTGTTACTTTTCTAACTTGGTTAATTCAAGTTTTAGAGGTTAGCTCGCTTATTTTGAGTTGTTGGTGTATAGTTTGGCCCTTTTTAAATTCACTAACACTTATTTTCGGTCTTAGCGAAATGTTACATTAAGTGTTTTAACGGTATAACGTTAAATTCACTGGCTAACCTACCTTAGGTGAGCCTGTTTCTGCAGTTGAATGGCGTTAATGGCGCTCGCTGACGTGTGGTCAGTTCAAGTGAAGTGAGGTTGCTGCTGTGAACCAGCGTTAAACGCATGGAGCAAGTTATGAGTCTTCCTCCATGCTAAAACGTTAGTCTCGCTGTTTTTAGGCGCCCGGCCACAGCAAAGTCCGGTCACTTTAACCCATTACTGTCTAAAACCCCGAAGACGTCGATGTCTGAAGTGTCTTAGTTCGTTTGGTCTTCTCACTGAGCTTGCATGAGCAAAAGCCACGAAATATTCAAGCCATTTGGCTAAAATGATTACTTTTCTTTTTCCGTAATGTATTTTAGGGTTAAAGGGGATTTCCACAGATTTGTCAATTTGTCCTTGCTTTAGATAATACGTTATTTGATGATGAATAATTGAAAATTGATTTGTAGAGAAACTTGCCAGCACAGTGGGCATGATGGGAACCATTGAGCCCAGTGTTTACAATGCAAATAAAGGCATTTTATCTACTGTCCAAAACCACCAGTAAAATGGAGTTTTTTTATATATATAGAATGTGTTACACATAGTAATACATTAGTAAATTTTAAGTATTGTTTGGAAGCTGTTGTCTTAGAACATCCTACATGTATCCCTCCACCATGAATTGATTAAAATACCTTTTAGACCAAAACTGTGTCACAGAACTACCATAAAAGTGTTTCAGACGTCAGGCAGTATATTCATGACGTTTCCTATAATAACTTTGTGAGGGAGTTTTTAGAGGTGGCTGTCTAGTTCCCATCACCACTGCTGTGAAGAATTTGGACTCCACATTTCACACCAAACCACTCAGTAACTTTGACATGCTAACCATTTAATCACGTGGAAACTTTGAAAAATCAAATTCCCCTTTAAATAAATAATAGTTTCTCTTTAAATAAAAGCTTAAGTAATCTGTAGGCAGAGGAGCCTTCATTGCTATTTATTTATTTATTTACTTATTTATTAAATTGCATGAGTCCAGTATTAAACTGAAACGAACCCACGCTTGGTTGTTATTCTGCTGTGATGGTGTCTGTTTATAGTCTGGTGATTTCTTCACTGGCTCTAGTGTAACAGTACAATGCCTCTGGGAAGGTTATGGCTTTTCTAAGAGTGAAGCCTTACTGCAAGGAGCCAAATTGCTGTCCTGGAGGGCTGGAGTCGAACACAATTTGGTGCTTTCTCAGCTCAAACACCCCACATTCAGCTCATCAGTTCATTCCCAGTTTATTTTTGTGTTAGTTGTGTCGGACTCCATTCCTTCAGTACCTGCAGCTTGGCTACCTCACCATACTGTCACCCAATCGCTCCTTTAACGCATTATAGTGATCTTTTCAGTCAGACTCTCATTAAGCGGTCCAGACTGTCCTTGGAGCTGAATATAATGCAGATTATAATAAATAAAATGGCTTTTATAGACAGGTACAATGCTGGTTGTGAGCATATTTGTGGTAATATTTAGGGATGCACTGATATAGGAACTCTGGGCTGGCATTTCAATTTTCATGTGTATACATTATCAGTAGCTAATTACATAAATAAATGGCTCATACAGTATAAAGTATACACTGTACAGATGAATTTGTACATGTTTTGTTCAGTATGTATAATAAGTCTGTAATTTTAACTTGCTTTGGGTTTTAATTGCGTTTAATTTTCAAAGCAAGGCATTGCTGATAC